ATTACTCGACCCCGCAAAACGCCCACTCTAGGCGCCCATAACAGCTTGTCACATGCCTGCCTTGTAGCGTGCTCGACTTCAGCCGGAGCAGTTGCAACTCATGTGTCATCTTGGCCAGATTCCAATTCAAAGAAACACTCCGGCACGGGAGACTTGACATAATCCGTGGTCCAGCGCTGAGGTCCGGCCCGTGCTACAACTACATGTGGAACGCGGCCAGAGTTCTTCCTCCGACATACACCTGTCCCTTTACTGGTTTATGAGGTATATGGTGGAGAACCGAATGAGAGCAGTGGGGAGTCGGCGTTCCGGGTCTGGCAGGAGGGACAGAAATCGTGATCTCTGGCACTGGGTCCACACAGGGTCTTTTCATTTGGCTTGACATTGCAGCAGCATGTTTCCGGACGGTGCTTGTGCATTCGGTGTAGATATGGGATTTCACCCAGCGAGTTATCGTTTTTTCGACTTGTCGCATGTCGTCTCATGCAGCGTCATGTGTCTGGCTTCAGCGGCCTAAACACACATCCCATCACCGTCTTTGTCCGGCAGGTGCAAACTCGTGGCACGTCTCGATCATCTGGAGGTGCCGCACTGGGGGAGGGTTTTCCGGGCTTTGGCTGAGCAGATGGCATGAAGAGGCTTAGGTGAAAAAGTGTTGACAACGAGGGCCGCAGCTTCGAGTCGCGATGCGGAATCCCCGGTTATGAGCGAACAACTGCAGCAGCAACAGGGGATACACCTACAACACCGAAGGCTAGCCGCAACCGGGTCAATCGACTATATTAAATGGCTTTGCCGCGCGAGTTTACTCCGGAACCTATCGTAACCAGTTCTGGCAACATGCTGCACATACCTGTTATATCGGTTTTGCACTATGCTGGCTACACGTCAATTCTTGAGATCTGCAGGCTGTCAGCTTTCTCGGTCTTTTTGTTTACAAAGCAGATGACAATCATTATGGTCATGGGGGCATGATCTTGCCGGTATTGATGCTGCTGACTCTTGTGCTGAAGCGATGATTTGGCCATCAATATGTTTGTAGTCGAGGTGATGGTCAGGTGCCAGGCAAAGCTGTTTGGATGTGGCAACCATGCTGATTGCTCTTTTAGCGGGCCTCCACAGGTCTCTGTCAGCGATTCGCTCATCACGGCCATGAGTGACTTCATGGACCCTCGTCAACCCGGAAAGGTTCAGAGCCCTGAGGTTTTCTGGGTTCTGAAGTTCAGGACGACAGGTTTGGGAACCGGGGGCACTGTCCGACTGGGGCGATCAGGACCAGTAGGGCCGCTAGGGCTACCAAGAACACGCGGCAACCAGAGTAGACTGATGCGTACCTGCATACCCAATAGGTGGAGGTGTAGATGCTTGCAGTGTTTGCATGGCAACGTCGGTGTACATGGTTTGCATGTTCATACGCATGGCTGTTGTCACCTGTACATAATGCATAGGTGTACGTAGTTAGTAGCAGTTAGTATCTTGCAATTTGCTGGGTGGTCAAGCCTATATGCACAAGTGTGCAAATTTGCGTATGTATGTGTACATGTGTAAATATATACACACATGCGAACACCAGCTTCCTTGGACACATGCTGACGAACACATAGTTCGGATGTGTTGTGGTTGACCCGTGCAAGGAGCGCTTGCAGCCCAGCATCACCTTCATGACTGCGGCGCCTTAGCTTCATGTCCAGGGTAAACTTCAATGACCGCGACAGTATCCACGATGAGAGTAGCAAAAATTTTTGTTGGTGCAGTACCGAGCGGGGAGAAACCATCCATCAGTCGGATGAAGCAAGACATAACACTAGACTGCGATCGAATCATGGTAGCACAAAGAAGAGCGTAAACGTGACAAGAGAAATCACTCACAGTGTGGAAGCAGGTGGGAACCAAGAAAGCTCAGTAGCAGCAGTGGTTTACACAGCATGTGCGAGTGTCAATGAACAGTTGTGCCAACGCAGAAATTTGCAAGGCCGGCTTCGAGAGAAAACATGTCGCAGCTGTACGGGAGAAGGCAGGGAGGTTTCAAGAGCCTTTCCAATAGTCCTTGGTTGACCCGGAAGCACTAATCCGGGAATCGGCGGAAGGACTTCTGTTACAGAGCCATGGAGTGACCACGCATTCTGTTCCAGAGGGGGGAGGTAGGCATTGTCCAACTACTCCGCTCCGTTGCAGTGTGATCTTCGAGAGGCAGCCACGATGTTCGAAGGAAAGGATCCTGCGCAAATTCCAAGAGACTCTTACCTTGCATTGGTGGGTCATTCACCCTTTTGACAGCGTAGTCTGTGTGGTTGTGTTCTATGAATTAGGTAAACTGGTATGGTGTCACGCAGATCGTCTCCCAGACTAGACATCCTACAGCATGCAGAAACTGCATTGCTCGATTCGTCTTGGATGTTCTGAATCTACGCATAGGAACAGCTCGCATGGCTTACTATGCCCCGCAGTCATCGCTTGTGCTTAATCCCCCAACTTGAGCCTGCAGCAAAGCATTGCTGTCTTTCGCCCCCGTGGCAGCTCGAGTTGCGAGCCTGGATCCGAAAATCATGAGCGGCCCTACGGTACTGATGGAACCTCACCTGACATCGCAGCACCCACATCCTGGCAAAGCCTTCTGGGGGGTAGAGGGTGTAATTCTGATCTCGTCCGTCGAGTCCAAGCTGGTGGAAGTGGAGAATCAACAGAACACCGAAGGATGGCGTGGGTCTGAGTGAACTATACTCTATCACCCGAGATACAGCCACTACTGGGCAGTATACGGGGGTTCATTGAGGAGGTTTCCAAGTAATCCGGCATCATGTATACAGCCCCATTAACTATGGGCCTTAACTGATTAGGAAACCATCTCCTTCTGGCTTTATTTGTTGTGTTTGCTGTATTCGTAGATCGCTTGTAGCAATGATGCTCTATTTGTTAACCCTGTCTTAAGGGCCTTGACCCTAGTTACCTAGTTGTTGCCGCAGCCAGGACACCATTATCCAGATTGACCAGTTGCCACTTGCTCAGCATGTGAGAGTCATTGCTTTCCCCGGCCCTCGCGAAGAGACTGTTCCGGCACCTTCATGTTTCTGCAGCACATCCGAGGTTCATTGCAGAAGTGCAGCTTCTCAGCTGCCTGATGATTGACTCCTCCCGGCCTTGATTTCGGTGCCAAGTCGGTGCTGAAGCACTTCAATGCATTACACACGAAGCCTCAACGTCGTTTACGCTGCTTGCTATTCCAAGACAAGCAGGAAAAATCAGATTCCGACATCTGACACCCTTTGCCCTCAAGATCCACTGGTCGTACAAGTGTCCTTGCTTCTGTTTTGTGCTGTTGCAGCGTTTCCTTAAGCACGTTTGCAGTTCTTTCTCTGCGCAGCACCCTGTCTGTTACGACGTCCGATTACAAAGTCTCGAGGCTTAAGCTCATAATGGCAGAATGCGGCGGGGCAACAGCCGTCACTGTGATAACCAAGGATGAAAATGTGGGTCTCTGTGAGACTGAGACGACTTCGGAATTATCTTCCGAGCTGGGTCCGAGCGGTCATAGGCCGGACAGCCAATGGGGGGGCCCAGCTGCTGCTGGTGTCTTTTCTTTGGAATCTCGACAAATGTTTGCAGTCCGCATGTTACTTCCGAGCCTAGCTGTGACAGGCGTGATTCAGGACTTGAGTATTGAATCTGGAGGTACCTTGACGTAAACAGCACCAGTCCAGACTTAGCAGAAGAGGCAGTCTCTCCTTGTCCAAGAGCTTCTCCATGGAGGGTGCCAATGTATCGTTGCTCCTGGCCAGCACAGAGACGGTCTGTCTTCGTGATGCAGTCTTTTCGATCTTATCCGCTTCGGCACCTGGTCTTCTCCTCGCAGCTTTCGGAAGGCTGCAGTTACCAAACTCCGCACATTTGACATCTGGGGCATGATCAGCAGATTGCGTCGAGCAGTCTTGTTACGAACGTTGCAAGCTAGTTCGGCAGCGTCCCAAATCCCCTGGGTCGGTTTGCATGACACCAGAATGACCGCCACTCAGCACAACATTCTTTGCAAGTAGACTTAGTCATTGACACGTGCCGCCATTCGCTGGCCCTAGCTGCCGCTGATTGCATGAATGTCTGTATGTTCGCATGTATGGATGTATGTATGTATGTATGTATGTATGTATGTATGTATGCACGTATGTTTTCTGGACGTTTGCTCGTGCCGGCTGGCATAGCCGGCCTGATCGGCTTAAGCACTCCTTTCACAGAATTTTTGCTGCAGGTCGTCGAAGTTTCTGGAGGGCCTCCGTGGCAAGCCGGTGGATTTGGCATCAAGCTTTGCGCACGAGTGGATGGGCAACATGATCCGAGCAGTCTGCTCTGCGCTAGGCTGGGTCATTCTGGCTTGGGGGTCATGGTTCCTGGATGCAGGTGGGCAGCTACTACAGGCTCATGTAGTTCAATGCTCCGCCCTTCTCTGACACGGTGGATTGAAAGTCCTAAAGGCAGGCTTCAGCTGCTTGTCCCACCTGTATCAGGCCATTCATCTCTGATGGCAATTCCCAAAGCGCCGATTGCACTCATCGGGTCTGCTGGGAATCTTGCTTCGAGCACACTCGGAGGACGCTCAGCTGTCATTGCAGAAGGGGGCTGTTGCAGTTTTGTCTGAATGTTGCTGGTCTGGATGTGCCAAGGTGCTATGAATAACACCGGCGCATTCTTTGACAGCATGACCTTTGACGATGATTATGCGTCGCGCCACAACAGGCATCGGCAGGCAGAGATCGAAGGCCGGTTCCAAGACATCAGACAGGGTGCTGTCGCAGACGGCGGGGAGAGGGTTTGGGTGCATCACGAACATCAGGTAGAGTTATTTTGGTTTAGCTCGACACCGTCTGCTGCAGAAAACTGATGGTCTGGAGCCTGGATTCCGGACTGGTAGTACAAGCTCCCAAACCTCCACAGTCAGCCGTCGCACCCTCGAGCCGCACGTCTTCGAACTGGGTACCAACCCTGAAGTTCTGCGAGGCGCCAGCCAGGGAATGGCTTCCGCCGTGAACAGTCTCGGAGAAGGCCTCAGTGGCCTCTTGGACATCTTCCGGCGCCTTGGACCATTGGTGCCCGTCCGCGTAGGCAGAAGTGTTCTCAACTAGGCAGGCCCGTCCGTGCGGGCTTCATATGGGTCACTTTGCGGGTTGATCGCCACCACTACATCATGCCACTAATGCTAGCGAGGCAATCAATCCCGATGTGTGATGCCATCCCAGAGAGCCGGCTGTGGCACATTGCAGAGCTGGTTCACCCTAATGATTGCGCCTTCTGAGGAAGCCACTCGAGGGCGCCAGAAACCACGGCGTTGGCGGCTTCGTCACAGGAATCGGGAAGGCATCGGCAGCTGGCTTGATTTTTGGCAGACTCACCTGACATTCTCGCGCACGGACTTCAACATACCCGGCTGCCAGGGATTGACAAGCTCTGTGATCAAGGGCGTCAATGGGGTGGCAGCTGCCCGGCTCGATTATGTTCCTGGTTGGCGGGTGGCTACATGTGATCATGATTCTGGCTAGTTATGGCATGAGAGAGAAGGGACAGAGCATCACCGTCCCGCGGACATTGGTTTCTGGGCTTGCGGATCGAACGGCGGGTGCTTCCTTTGCGGCAGATGACAAGATGTGATCAGATGAACACTCTGCCAGGGTGAGAGACTTTGTGCCGAGTTCGGGCTTGTTCGTATGCAATGGTTTCTGGTCAAGGACTCATCCCATAGCCTCATCACCCATTCCGACACTGACTCCCAAACCTTTCGACTAGAAGCCTCTTGACGAACGAGGACGCGGCAGCCGACCTGGGCCGTGGGGTGATGGCGGAGGCCGGATTGTGTCTCTTGCTCATCATGTATGACCCGATCTTCATATCCATTTTAGAGTGTGGCTGCCGGAGACTTGTGAATTCCGTTGAGCTTTTGCCACTTCAGCCCGAGCAACCTTAGCAGCCTTAGCATTGATAGCAGCCCAGCCAGTGGCGAGCAAGCAAGCTCGGGTCTTTGCGCCGGGCCTTGCTTCGAAGAGCAGCATTTGCAGGCCAGTCTCAGAGATGGAAGAAAAGGGAGGCCCATAAGAAGAGGAAGAGCAGAGAGAGTCGGGGCCCGTGCAACGGGGGGCGACCTCTCTGCCTTATGGCACTGGAACAAGGGCGCACCGATGGCGCAAGCAAGGATCGAACAACAAACACAAGCACACAGACACATACAGAGATGCATGTCCGCGCTCGCGCCTGCACGTAAACATGCAGTCATTTGTTTCAGCTACACCATTTTATCTTACGATTTGCCCACATCTTCATGAACACATCGTGCTGCATATATGTACTTAAATCCGTGAACACTGGATGAAGTGCTTGTAGGGTTTTATGAACACGCCCCACTGGACGCGCCAGGCTAGCAAGAAGATCAAGCCCCAACACGGCACTACGCTCCGAGTGCGCCACCCTCGCGCCCTTTACGGCCCGATTGGTGCAATCATGGACTTCTCAGATCCTCGGCCGCACATTGAAGTTCCCCAGTGTTATTGGGATTTCGGTTGTTGGTCAGTCCTCTGAGCATTGATGGGTGCTTCCGAGCTCTGCTATCTTGTTCATTGCCTCCTCAAGCCTGCGAGGTCAGGCATGACAAGCTTTTCAGGCGTTGCCAAATCTATGTAGGGTTTCATGATTGTTTGCACCTCAGCGAGTTGATGCGAGTTGTGCTGCAGGAGCTAGACAGCCACGTCATGGCGCACCTACAAAAGTCCGGCGAAATCAGCATCTCGGATAGATGTGATGGCTGCACCAGGCTCACTGGAGTACCTTGCATGTCATAGAGAAGGTAAGCGCTTGCTTACGTACCAGATTCGAGTCCAAGTGCTGCTCGGGCTCTGCGCTCTCAGGCGAACCTGTGGAGGCCATTGTCCCGCTCTTCAGGCATCCTGGCAGCTCGCTCTACGCCGGTTCCATCCGGTTCCTCACCAATTTTATAAGTACACCGCTAAAGCCGTCCTGAGGGAGAGTTCGTGAATGAGTGCAATGAGGTTGGTGGTATTGGTAGGAGATCCATCTGCTGCAGAAGCCGGGCGCACTGCGACCCTACTATTGAGACACAGTACGATGAAAATGAGGACATCCATGGAAAAGTTTGATAAAGAACAGGCCGATGACAGGACACTGAGAGCGAGGCAACTGAATGAACAGGAGGAACGCAAAAGGGCGGAGCTAGCATGAACTGGAGTAAGTAGAAGATGTACAGCAAAATAAGGGTGACATTGGCGAGGATCATCAAAATGAGAGGACGAGGATAGTGAAGAAGAAGAAGAAGACGTTGAATGTTACTAAGATTGGGTAATGCACACGTCAAATACAGATGATGAGGGTTACTGTCGGATTTTTTGGATGATGGAGCTGAGCTGATGATGATGTTAATGATGATGATGGATCTCGGCGACACAGAGTGACTTATGCCTGACATCGTCGGGTGTTTCGGAGATGCTGCGCATGTCAACCTCACCTTCTGTCACTGACGGGAAGAGAAGCAATATTCATGTTCCTCTCTTCTGCAGCCGCTTCACTAGCAGCGCAGCAGGAGAAGTCGCACTGTCACAAGTAGTCGCCGAAGTGGTGCGAGCGGTGGTGGTGTTGCTGGTGCTGCTCGTGGTGGTGGTGCTTGTGGTGGTAGTGGTAGGAGTAAGAGGAAAGTAGCAACGGCACCAGCATTGGCAGCAATAGGAGTTGGGTATAACAATAGTTTCCGGTGTCAGGACCGCAGGATTAGGAGCTGTAGCAGCGGTAACGTTGGTAGCAGCTGTAGTCGCACTGTAGTAGGACGCAGCATGACGCAGCAAGAGTAGTGTAGGAACTGTTTCCCGGGAGCCAGAAGCGGTATGTTCAGTCATTGCAGTCAGAGCAGGTGGCAGCCGCAACAGATGCAAGAGGAGGACTCCAGCGAGGAGGAGGAGAGACCCGTTCCGGTCGAGAGTGTCGAGGCGATTTCGGGTGTGTTGCTTTTGTTTTGGGATCGTGGGCACACCGAGCTTTATGGTTTGGGACGTTTAACGCAATTGTCGGGATTGGGAGCTTGAGTGCAACAGCTGAAATGGCGAGGATCACAATACAGTTTTGTGAGGATTCTGCTGGCTTGTCTGGATATCGAATCAGGAAGGAGCCAAGCGCCGCTTAGAAATCTCTTGGGGCCCGCACCCCTCAAGTTTTGGGCCGTCGTCAGCTTTACTTAGTAGCCTCAAGCTTCATACACCGTGAGCCTCCTCTCCTCTTTGAGGTCATGGTCCTGGCACGGAAGTCCTTTTGGATCGCTGAAGTGCCTCTTACGAGGCTGCGGAGTCTTTCGAGTACTGTAGTCAGTGACACTCATGGATGTTCCAGCAGGCCATATTTCTAACACAGGAGCACATCGACATGCTACTAAATGTGCATGCAGTGCGCCGCTCTGCAACAGGGGAATGCACCGGTCGGTGTATGACGTCCAAGCATCGTCGGCAAATCGAAGTGTAGCCGGTCGGATAAGCCGGAGCCAAAGGAATTGACGGCTGCGGTGGTAGCTGTGGTGACTACCAGAGCACGGAAGAACTGCGGCAATGGAGGGACACTGGCCGGCTTGCTGCTAAAAGCAATGAAGAGTATCACATGACACTACCAGTCACTACCGGCGAGGGTTCGATAACTTGCCGACCCTGCATCGATTGTCAGGATTACTCCGGTGCGCTCCTTCTATCCAGATGCTGGGCGCAGTTATGGTCGGCCAGATGAGGCCTGTCGGAGAAGTCTGCTCAAGTTCTTCCACTGCTTTGGAAATCGATGACTCCTGGAATCATGTCATGTTGTCTTGGCTATGATTCTGTGATGCTGTAGCAGCCATGGCAGGTGAAAAGCTTGCTGGTGTCACGCCTCGTGCCTCTGGCTCGGGTACAGCCCGACCCAAATGCCGGCAGGTTCCAGCCACCTGGCTAAACATTTGCTTCACATCTGGTAGCTCCGGTTCGGGCGTACTAAGTCTGGCTGAGTATGAAGGTTTCAAATGTGTCGACTTTCAAACCTTCGCATTCTCAAGTTGCTGCTTCGTCTGACCACTCGTGTTTTTTACTTCTGCAGTTTGCCAAAGTCCAAACCTGAACCGGTCAGCGATCCAGCACTGATGTAGTCCATCCACGGGGCCGGGGCGGCCGCCGCCGCCGCCACCGCCACCGCCACCGCCACCCCCACCCCCACCACAACCACCACCACCACCACCACCACCACCACCACCACCACCACCACCACCAAGTGCAAAATCCTCGCAGTAGTGATCCATGCTCCTTTTGATATTGGAGACAGTACTGTAACACCGAGCAGGTGCTCCGCCGCATGGATTGAGAACTGTTGCCCAGCTGGGTTTGCATCTGCAATCAGTCCAAGGATCCACAGGCAATTCCCGATTGCCGCGCTGAAATCTGTAAAGTGGGCACAGCGACAGAATGGGGCCCGTCCGGATCTGCTGCTGGAGTGCATGTCGCACCTGGGTTGCATGAACCTGCTTGCACGCACCTCCTTTGTTGCTGCCTGCTGCTTTGCTTACACGCCTGTGCGCAATGCAAGGCAAGTTTATTCCATCAAGATGCCGTGGAGTTTGGGCGGCGAGCTCCCAAAAACCATCCTCAAAGCTTTGGCGGATGCCATCCATGTTGGGAAAATTCAGGCTCGGCGGAATGAGTCGCCATTACCATGTACAGTAGGTTCGAAACGTTCTCAAAGTTGCGCAAGCATGTGCATCGAAGCTGACACTCACTCTCTCCATGGGACATTTAGTACGGCTTTCCGACAGTGCATGCTGCAACTTGACACCAGTGTCGAGCAGGAATGTTGTTCCTCTGATGGGCTTCCACATTGATTCATACCTAGATGCACCAGTACTTTGAACAGATGACGCGGGCTCAGTTTCATGCATCAGTTTCCAATTGACCAGGTTGAAGAAATTTCCGACGTTCAAACGGAGCCGCTTGGCGGGTACAGCACCATGAGGCGTCGTTGCGTCATGGTCACACCAGGATGCGCCGACGGCAGTGCCCGTCTCTGTCCAGTCGTGTCCGTGGGCCGTGGGACACCGTAATTAGCAAACCGAATGCTTTGGTTCTTAGGAGTGTGCCGCAAGTTTTTGCGAGATGTCCAGTGTTTTCTGAAGTGCCGTTGTCCCGACGAATTAGCCTTCGCTTGGATTCATTGGAAATGGAGCTTGCTCGAAATTATTGCAACTCCTTCTTGGCAGCCTTTTTCACAAACCGGAGCCGAGCAAGCTACCAAGGGTCTGATGCAACTGAAACCGACCAAGAAAAGTCTCACATCGATCGAATGGTAAGAATACTGGCTGCTTCACCGGATGCTGTAATTACATGGTAGCTGTGAGTATAAATCCGAAGGCAGACCAGACGCAGTTTGACACGTGCCCAATTGCTGACATGTGGCCCGCATCAACGTACAGAGGGCGGCCGAAATCGACATTGCGACCACTACAACTCCTACTGTGTGTGTGAATACCCTGCATCCCTTCACGATCCACGGATGCTCTTGGTCCTAGAATCCTAGAATGGAAAGCTAGTCAGCGAGCCAAAGAGCGTGCTCAGCACGGTGCACCTCAGCTGGTGACCTGATATGCTCACCGAGGGTTCGCCACGGCTTCATGGGCGACGAGCTGTCCAATCCAGTGCAGGTCTCCCTCTGAGAGAAGTCGCATCGGTACCAGTCTTCGTCATGAGCTAGTGACCCGGAGTTTGGTCATGATTGTGGCAACAGCAGGTGATGTTTGCGCTGCTTTGTTGCCGTCAGCTCCGTCTTAAGCTGCTCCTGTTCTTTGCGGTCATAATCATGCTGTCCTTTCCTTCGAGAAGTTTGTTCTAGTGGTTGTCGTATAGCAACTCTTTCATGTGGAGCTTTATGGCACGAGAATACCAAACACATTGGTGTAAACGCGCCTCAACAAGGCGAGCTGTGCAATTCAAGACCGACTGCGCAAGGAACAGTGCAGCACTAAGGCAGCCGTAATAGCGAGTCAGACAGGCTGACCTCGAAGAAAGTTTGGCTTCCAAGTCTCCCAACTTGAGATGGTTCCTCAAACTTCCCTCTTGGGCTTCTTACATATTCTGATTGGTTGGTTTGCAGCACTGTCGACTCGAATATTGGAAGTGGTGTTGTCGTTCGGACACGTTTGCACGCCCGAGGAAAACGTAGTAGGAGTCAGGCATGCACAAAGACAGGGGCAGCTAGGCATCACATTGCTGTCACTGTTCTGCTGACGGCTAACATCTGATTGTGACAGGTTTGCATAGTACCCCCCCGCCCCCCCCGCCAACTAGTCAATGGATAATTAAAATGAAACCATATGCCTGTTGTAGCCTTGTAGCCCTGCGCCTTGAGTCACTGCACCTTGAGAAGTCGTGCCCTGCTTTCCGAGAAAGCGCAGTGCAACCCGAGATGCCAATGACAGGTGACGGAAGAGGTATGGGAAGTCGAGCGCGCAGCTGTCGCTGCAGGTGCCGCTTTCTACAACATGCTTGCTCAAACTGCTCACTTTCAATACTGGCGCTCCCTCCAGATGAACGGACTGCAGGGATTCGATCTCAAACCACTTCCATGAAGCGACTGCCAGGTCACAGAAGGCGATCCTTTCTTCCCTTCTTGCTGTCATGATATGTGGTAGAGCTCTGCAAGGAAGCTTCCGTGGCACGGGAGCCGGTTTCCAGGGTGCCGTAGGGTTTGGGACGGCGGTAGCAAAATATCCAGAGCACAGAAGCCAGCGATTACCACAAACATTAGATCTTGGCTTCTGATTTCTGAACTGATCAGCACGAGCGAACATTTAAAGGTCAGAATTTTTGCCCGAGCGTTCCTACGCTTGATACCCTCCTCTATGGGTGTGAATCGCAACGATCTTGGCGCCAGGCACCAACAGCTCCTGGCAGATGCTTGTCTTGCACTTGTGTGCTGTGCTCGCTGACTATCCTTCATTTCACCAGCATCAGTATCGTTTGCCCGCTTGGCGGTCAACCATTGTTGACTTAATTCTGGTTCCGTCTGTGGTGGTCCTAGTTGCTCGTCTTACGCTTGTTACTGTTGCTTCCCGCTGGTTTGCTGCTATACCACGAAGTGCAGCAGCTTGGGTGTAGACAATTCTACACGATATCTGGATCCCAAATGCTTCCAGCATATATCTGACTTGGAGATGCTATGTAAATCTACTCGCTGTAAATCCACTCGAGACTGTTGTGCTCAGCGACCCGTAGTTTGCTGGTTCAGTCGCAATCGGAGAGTCAAGGGTTCACATCTTTGGAGAGTCGAGGGTTCACATCTGCGAAGGAAGCCATTCCTGCCGACGGAGCCGGAGCACCAGCAATGTTGGATGGATGCAGGTGTAGGAATGTGTTTGTAGCTGTGGCCGGTTGCGTAGTCTATCGCGGTGCAAAGCTTTCTGCTGAAGCCCATGATGGTCTCATGTTGGAGCCTTGTCGGGCTTCGAGCACGCTGCCCCGGAGGCTTGCAAGTACGCCACCCACTTCTGGACCCCCAGCGCTTCGGAAGAAGCACAAGAAAGCCGGGCCCTCCCGTGAAGTCGCTGAGACTCGGCCGCTGCTTATGCCGGTGTAGTCTTCCTCACCTGCACGTGTTATGCTCGCTCGCTGTGGACTGTCGGCATGCGAGGAGACTCTGGAGACCAAAAGGTACATGGCAGCTAGAAGTGAACCTCGATGAGACGGACCTGCGCCTGCCGCACTTGGCTCTTTGGAGGGCTTTCACATTGTGGGTGTACCTGGTAAGCCTGACTTGCAGGCAGGTTTAGGGGAAAACTGCCGCAGATAAGTATTGAGTGCAGCTTTTCAGGTTTTGCGTTTGCTCCTCGTGAAACTCACAATAGCCTGTGCGCGCAAAACGGTGCAAAGAGTATCAAACACTGAGGCACTCAGGCTTCTGTAGTGTGAAGCAACCTTCAACCCTGTCAAGTTTCTTGTGGCAGACGCTCTTTGCAGGACGCCGAAGGCTGGGTGTATGCTCCGATCTGGGGTTCCACGGACTGGCAGCTCGAACCGCGCGTCTTCATCGACGTCGTCCGAAAGCGCAAGTGGACTTTGACCTACAAGCTCAATTTCCTTGCCACGGAGACATTCTTGTTTCGTGCTTGCAATTATTGCTCGATTGTAGACGGGTAACAGTAACGCGGATGATGCGGAAGAGCAGTTCCGAGCTGCACGGCTCGCGGCTCACAGAGCTCACCCTGCTTGCATAAGGCCGAATGCGGCATCCATCGGGCTGCCACCTCGTGCCCCTTCCTTGTTCAGCGAAGTGAGGTGTAGAGTCACGAGTACTGAGGGTTCCAAGCCTCCCGCAATGCAGGCGTGTCCGCCTTGCTTCACTACCCCGAAGTCTGAAGAACCTAGTAAATTATCGTACAGACGTACCGGCACCCGAGTAGATGACATTGGCTTGGGTTTCACTTCCATGTCGGCAGCAAGGCCATGAAGCAAGGTGGTACAAATGTGCCTGAAGTCATGCTGCACCACTTTCATCACTAGTGGGAACTCTTGATTAATGAACCCTTCCCGCCGCGCAAGGTAGGTCAGCTGGTGGCCTAATACGCCCTCCCCCCCAAGTGAATTTGGCGGGTTTCGGGCTTGCCACCCAACACTCCTCCTAGTGCCCTAGGGTGTTGTAAGGCAGGTAGGGCTTTAAGGTTGGGACTGAGGGTTGAGGTCAGGCTTCTAGGGTTTAGGGGGGTTGAGAGTTGAGGGTTGAGTTGCAGGGTTGAGGCTAGGGTTTTAAGGCTTCGTTTTGGACTTTAAGTTCCTGGGTTTTTGTGCTTTGCGCTTTAGGGCCGAAACCTTAAATCGTTCAAGGCCAAGCGAACCTGCAAACAGTGTCACCCGACCCGCGACTATGGAACCTCGCCTGGCTTGTCCGAGTTGTGAGAGCGTAAATCGTTTAAGGTTGGGGCTTACAGCCGAAACCCTCCCCCTATAAACCCTCAACAGTCAAACAAACACAATAACAAAACACGATTGTTCTGCGGCGGCCGGATTAGTAATCAGGGAGGTTGCCTTGCCTGGGCTAAGCCTCTGCAGGCTTGTAAAATTGAGTGTTTTACACAGGCCTTTGATTTAAGATTTATTGCTTGGCCACCTCTGAAATTTCTTCACTCCAGCCCTGTTTGATTGCTGGGCGATAGGAGCACTAGTTCCAGAAACCCAAAACCCTGAAACACCTAAACCCTGGTCGGAAGGAGCGCTGGTTCCAAAAACCCTCAACCATAAAGCCCTGAAGTGCTGGGGGCGGAAGGTTGCCATTAATGGGGGGGAGGTTTTGGCAAGGGTTTTTTTCCAGGGCGCTGGGCTCCGGTGGAAGAGGCCAGCGCGTTTAAGACATGGTTTCAGCCAGGTCAGAGGCCCGCGCGGGATGCCTTTAATCACGGGGGGTTTATCTCATCAAGAGTTGACATTCATTCGACCTGAGCCCAGGAACGGCATCCCTGCTGGGAAGTCCGTCATCAAGGTCACCATGGTCACCCTTCAAGTCATCCAGGCAATGTTCGTTACGGCGTCAGGTTCGGTGTCAAGTGAAGGGATGTTAAGGGTTGCGTTCTTTTGCGTGTGATGTTGACTGTCAGGAAGATACAGCCACATGCAACTTAGAGGAACACGATGCAAGCTTGCCCGTTGAGGGGGCAGATTGTGCACCAGTGCTGACACACCATCCTGAGTTCACGGTTTAACGTGTTGTGAAGTGACCCAGCACTCTTCCAAGCCATTGACGGACGAACATCTTGTGAAGGCCTGAGACACCTTCTTCGGATGCCGGCACAACAGGCAGCTTCGGTAGAGCGTGGTTGTAGGTTCGGAGAAGACCGCTTTGCAGTCCTGGCAGTGCTAGGCATGCCAACAGCATCTTCCCGCTGCTAGTTGAATTGGGTGCCAGAGATCGAAGCCGCCCCACAGCTGAGCGGAGGTCGTCATCCAACCTCGACTCCAAGTTTCAAGCAGCTAGCCGCTAGCCGTAGCTTCAGATTCAGCTCGGCAAGCACTTCTCGCCCTCTGTAGATGGACTGTTGCAGGCGGTGCGCGCTTGGAC